AGACTCGACGAGTAGAGACGGGGATTGGTTCGAGTTAGAGGAGTATGGACTCGACGATTTGGTAGACCAACTCGGCGAGTCAGGTCAACTGGATGTTGACTTTGACCGATGTTGACTTTGACTGAATTGAGTTGACCCTGGTTTGGGTTGCATGTTCGAATTGATAACTTAGAAGGGTTGTCGTGTAGGGATTGAGGAGTCGAGGGGCGTCGACTTTCACGCCGAGGACATTTCAGACACTACACGAAAACGAGGTGAGTTACCTTCCAGTAGAAGTGGGTCTAAGGCACCAAGGTCGGCCCACTGGTAATTGTTTAGTTGTGATGATTGTCTTTGTGATAATCATATGGGTTGCTTGTGCTTGATATATGTGTATGCTAGTATGCTATGTTATGTGAGATAGTATCAGTAGGAGGGGACTAGTCCCCGATTCGGTCACTAGGACCAATGGGTAGGTCGGACACCCCATATATGTGTGACATCACGATTATGATATGATATTATATGCTAGCGGTAGGGGTGAAATAGTCCTCGTATTCGGTTGAGATAGACCGGAGGGTAGGTCGGCACTTCCAGAATAGCCTGACACGGGTAGGTCAGCACCCCAGAATGGCTTGACATGGGTAGGTCAGCACCCCAGAATGGCTTGACATGGGTAGGTCGGGCACCCCAGAATTGCCCGGCAATATGTATGTGGTTTTGGTATGTGGTATGATGGGGGAACTCAGTAAGCTTTGCGCTTACATTTTCACTTTTGGTTTCAGGTACCTCTTCATCCAAGGGGAAGGAGTCGTCGGTGTAGTAGCGCATCAAACACACACACATGATTTCCACATGGAGTTTCTGGGATTCTACTCTGATTTTCATCACTCTTGACATTGTGATTTTGAAACATGACGTTATGGTTTTTATAAGTTGATGTAACTTGACAATGTTTTGGTATATTATTTCATGAGGTACTTAATTTAAAAATGAAATTTTTGGCCTTGAAAATTGGGATGTTACAAGTTGGTATCAGAGCCTTGGTTTGAGGGATTCGGGCACACCTTCGGGGGTGTCTGGACTCAAACCGAGGGACTAAAAGATTTTTCACAAGGAAAACAGTTTTCTAAAATTTAAGTAAAGAATTTTGAGAAAGAATAAGGTGTGTGATGTGTGCGACCGGCCGAGCTCAAGTAAGTTTTCCCCAAGATACCCATACTTGTTATGTTATGTATATGATTTATGATTCTGAGAACTGCATACAAGATTAGGGCTAAGGATCTAGGAGGATTCCTTGTATGCCTGATGTATGATTCTGAGAACTGCATGCTAGAATAGGGCTAAGGATCTAGGAAGGATGCCTTGAATGCCTGTAGTATGAGCTGTATGCTAGGACTGTTTAGTCAGTGGTAGGATGTCCTGATCAGTTTATGCTTGTTGTGGTTACTCGATGCACGAATGGTGCTTGCTTTGTGCTATAGGGGGGTTTTGGCTAACTTTAACTAACTAGTGAGCGGATATGTAACAGTATTCGCAATCTAGTTAGGGAGAGGTGGTAGGGACTCCTAGTGCAGCTGACGGCGGAGAGTAGGTCGGAGAGTATCCTAGGAAAGCCTAGGATGAGCTTAGTTGGGAAGTTGAATTAGTAGAAAGGGACTTGGTGAAGTCAAGGCAGTTCTTGAGGAAAGTACGGATAGATGTGGAAGGTAGTATGGGCCCGTACTACTGGAAGCAGAGGATCCGTACTCGAATCAAGGAAGGCTGAGACAGAACCGAGAAACTTGGAGAGTGTGCGAGACCTCTCGAGGATATGTATGATCCTGGCGTTTATGTGTTCATTTTCAGTATGGCGATTACACGACATGGAGCAGGATCTGGATCAGGATCAGGATCAGGCTCGGGTGCAGGGTCCGAGCAGGTCGATGACAGACTACGCGAGTTCATCGCGTCTGAGATCACTAGTGGTATCCTTGAGTCGACCCCTATCATTTTCGGGTCGATCAAGGAGGGGATTATCGATTTGATGGAGGACTGCCTCCAGGCGTTCAGGAGGGACTCGGCGGCCAGCCAGTCGGGTACGCGCACACTGTCCTTCAAGGACTTTAGGGGGAGTGGTGCGCCGGACTTTCACGGGGTGAAGGACCCCATTGCTGCCAGGAGATGGATCGCAGACATTGAGTCTGCGCAGTTGACGAGCTTCTGCCCGGAAGGGTCGAAGGTCCGCTTTGCTGCGGGATGTTTGAGGGATAGAGCTAGAGATTGTTGGGAGTCAATTGGTGACTCGTTGGGAGCCCCAGCCATCGAGGCTATGACTTGGTCAGATTTTGTGACTAGATTTGGGGCTGAGTTCGCGCCAGATGTGGAGCTTCAGCCGCTTGCCCGAGAGTTTCTTGATATGAGACAGACGACTGAGACAGTAGCGGAGATCACCACCAAGTTCAGGGAGAGGGCCTTGTTGGTACCTCAGTATGCGGGGGGACGAGGAGATGCGGAAGACCCGCTACCATGATATGTTGAGGGTTGATATCCGGGAGCATGTCAGCTATTCAGCCTGCCCGAACTTGGAGTCCATGATTGCCAGGGCGCGGGAGAGGGAGATTAATTTGGAGCACCTTAAGAAGAGGAAGGCAGAGACTGAGCAGGTTACAGGGGTTTCGGGGAAGAAACCCAAGGGATCCGACGTTAGGTCGAAGGGCTAGTCGGGCCAGAGCTGCTGCAGGAAATGCGGCAGGCCGCATGAGGGAGCTTGTAGAGCGGGATCGTCAGGCTGCTACAAGTGCGGCAAGACGGGGCACTTTGGCAAGGATTGTACTGCCTCCGCCCCCCACAGTTCAGACATCAGACCTGATTTGCTTTCATTGCAATCATAGGGTCCATAAAAGGGCCAACTGCCCTAGATTGTCAGCAGTGTCAGCAGCAGTGCCAGTGGTGGTGCCGACTCCAGCGACAGCACGAGTTGCGGATGGCCGGAAGGTCAAGGCAAAGGCTTCAGTGGTGCGGAGCCGAGCATTTCAGCTGACAGCCGAGGATGCACGCGCCGCACCTGATGTGGTGACCGGTATGATTTCTTACTTATGTTCTTATTTTATGTCGTTGTGATTTTGATATGTTTTATGTACGCTCTGCTTAGGATCGTTCCATGTGAACGGTATCCCAGTTCAGGTGTTGTTTGATTCGGGTGCTACCCGATCATTTGTCTCTCTTGCGCTTAGCAAGAGGTTTCCTGAGTCCTCAGGCATGTTGGATTGCCCTCTAGAGGTCGAGATCGCGGACGACCGGTCAGTGCGAGCATCAGAGGTCTTCAGGGACTGTGTTTTGAGATTGTTCGAGGAGCGTTACCTGGTAGACTTGGTTCCCATACCTTTGCGGGGGAACAAGGTTATTATAGGTATGGATTGGCTAAGCCCCAATGGGGCGGTGATCGACTGCGCGCAACTGTTGGTGCGGATCATGACCCCAAGTGGGGGAGAGCTAGTGATTCAGGGCGAGAGGCCACAGCGAGGGCCAGCTTTATGTTCAGCAGCGAGGGCTAGGCGCTACCTTCAGCAGGGTTGCGCAGGATATGTCGCCTATATTATGGATACCCGGGAGGCGGGTAAGGTGACGGTGGGTGATGTGCCAGTAGTACGAGGGTTCGCGGATGTATTCCCAGAGGAGCTGCCTGGGATACCTCCGGAGAGGCAAGTGGAGTTCAGGATCGACCTGGTCCCTGGTGTGGCTCCGATAGCCAAGGCACCATATCGATTGGCTCCTCCTAAGATGCAGAAGTTGTCTACACAGCTGCAGGAGCTGTTAGACAAGGGATTCAATGTGTGCACATACAACTCTTAGGTTCCTAAGAATACATGTATTTTAAAATAAGTCAACAATAATGTTGTTGAGTTCCACATGTTTTGATTCTGCAAACTTTTATAACCAAAAGTGTATTTACAGGTGCTAATTCGTGAAGTATAAGTACTTACCTTACTTATATAGAAAAACATGCTTGTGACTTTGTACAAGTGTGCTTGTTTATAATTATTTACTTGTAAAAACATAAGTTTTCATAAAACAATAGTTCATGTGCTTTGTATATTTACAAGTATTTGTTTTACTTATAATATATACTGAAGCTTACTCCATTTTCAACGTTTTTTATATCTACGCGTTCGTCTTGTCGACTACTACAACTTTCATGTTGATCATTTTAGCCAAAAAAAAAAAAAAACAATATATTTTCACCTTCATTTTTATAAACAAAGGTTTATATTTATTAACTTTTATAAGTGAAATGGGTGTTACAATTTATTGGTTTATATTAAAATAAAAAACGTTGAAGTTGGTTATGCTTATTAGATTTTGCTAAAAACTAAAAACCATATTTTCGAATAAAAAATCAAGATATTTACTAAAATAAAAAACATATTTTCACATAAAAACCCAAGATATTTACAAAAATAAGTTTTGACATGATATTCGTTTTCAAATTATATAGGTGCACAAATAAAAATAATTTTTCATCTTATGTGAATATTTTTTCATCCTATATGAAAATAATATTTGACATGTTATTCGTTTTCGAATTATATAGGTGCACAAACAAAAATACGTTTTTTATGTGAAAAAAATGTTTTTTTAAAAAAGTTTTTTATGTGAGAATGTTTTTTTTTTGTATAAATGATATATTTTCACATAAAAAAAACCTTCTATGCGAAAAACCTTTTGGACAAAATTTATACAAAAAAAAAACATATCTTTTACATATAAAAACTTTTTTTTAACAAATTTTTTTGTAAGAAAAAGGTTTTGATGTAATACTTAATGTTTGTAAGGACGTATATAAAATTTTCCCAAAATTTATAGAGACTTAATTGAATATATATGAGCTCAAATGTAAATATTGAGTTTTTTTCTATCCTTGTTTTCCAAAGGTTAGTTTGCTTTCATCCATGTGTGTTTCCCAAATGACATTTTGGTAAATTGGTATAACTTTGTTCGGTCTTCGTTTTATAAAGGGGTGATTCACTACTAGAAAAAGGTTAATGTAATACGGTTGAAATTATGAATATAGTACGTACATAGAGGGCGTATTAGTAGAGGGGTGTATTAGATTACATGCCTAATAGAGTACAGCTATTTAACCGTACTCTATATGTATCCTATCTACTTTCTAGAACCATCACATACAATCATCTAATACGCCATATATATACATCTAATACACTAATAAACAACCGTACTTGATGTCTCACATCCCCCATTCCTTCCTTTCCACCATTCATGCCCACCCATTCTACCATTCATGCCCATTCTGGCTTTGCATTCCATTCCTTCCTTTCCACCATTCATGCCCATTCTGGCTTTGCATTCCACTCTTACCAAAATAATAATAATGAGAGAGAGAGAGAGAGATGTGCCACATACCCCACTTTCTGCTTCATCCCCCATCATCTCTTTATATGCTTCAAGTTTTTCTTTCTAGGAAAATTTTCTACCACCAAAAAATAGTTAAAATTGCAGTATATTTCTGAGGTCTAAATGCTAAAAATAGCAACATACTTTCATTTCTTTTCATTGCAACATTGTGCTTTTAACTTTTTATCTTATTAAGGCATGTTACTATATAATATCTTTCAAAGATCTACTACCTAAATATAGAACTAAACTTGGATTTTTTTTCTTATTAGGGCATTATACTTTCTACCAGATAATGCACGCAAGATCATTGTGAACACTTCATGAATAAGTTCCTGTTGATTTCAAGGATAAATTTGAAAATTTAGCATACTTAATACCATCATGAAGCTTAAGTATGAAGTACATTTTACCTTATATGATGATTCTAATTTGTCTTTGTATTTTGTAGAATACAAGTTTTCATTCATCATCAAAGAGCTCTCGACCATATAATCAGTTTCAAACTGACACAACAAAAATAAAGAGAGCATCATATGTGGGACCCGGATTGTGAGGGAGTAATGTGAAAAACAGTGAAGAAATGGTACCTGCATTACAATATATGGGTACATTGTTTGACCTTTACAGATAGGAGGGTCCAGAGTGACAACCACAAACGTGTGAGGTTGGTTAGACTGCATCAGCAAACAGGGTAATATAGTCATTTTATTTTGTAAGTGAGTAAAACCAATGACAAAAATATATCAGGACTTAAAACAACTCTTTGCCATGTGTAAAGGAGAACAAACGAGAACCTTAGGCAAGACAAAAACATGGACTAGGCTGTTGTATTGAATTTTGAAATCAGTGGCTTGCCCTTCAAGCCTTAAAAAGGAAAGGTGAAGTTCAACATTGTATCGACCCCTGTAATACAAAGATACTCCCATTATAGTGCTTGATAAATAAGATAAAAACCAATTATGACACTTGACACATGGAATAAAGGCAATACCTTGGTGTAAGAATCGTAATGATTTCAGTGACAACAGCTTCTTCACCTCCAGCCCCATCATCTGCCATGGACATTATTTTATCTCGGAAAATCTTATAAAATGTAACAAAAAATTTATAAAATATATAAAATGGAACTCCAAATGCAGCAATTAACAAACAAACAAAACCAACTAAAATTACATTGTTAGTGAGGCATCCATTTGCATTAATGAGGAAGCCAAAATATAAATTGAAAGGTAGCACTAAAGAAGCCAACAAAGGCAAATTGCTAGAACTTATTCAACATGCACAAAACTCCCATCAATAGCAAATCCAAGACCAGTTCTCTAAACACATCAAGCCTGAAATCCTTTTAGGCATCGGTTCCTAGGCAAAGAGGTCAAAAACTGATTTAAAAAAATTGAATGATATAATAGAAAAACTAAACAATTAATTGGAAGTAAACTTTGTTAATTTAATTTGTATATTTTTCAAAGAATAATGCTATAATAGGTAAAAGGGAAAGTAGACACTATAATAAACAAATCAAAGTTCATTGTTATTTCTTGCATAACAACATTAATGATTTATAAAATAAATCAAAGTTCATTTTTTGGACATGATTTGTTCTTCGTATAACATGATTTATATAACATGGAAATTAAGTAACTGCATGCAACATATGAGATATAAGATGTATTAAACGCATTGCTTACTGCTTACTAACCTTCCCAATGAACTTCAAAAAGATTCATAGGAGCCTTGTGACGACCATTATTGGTTGAAATTTACTAAGTACATTTGAGAGGGAAAAGAATGCCCTGAAACAATAATTAAGTGATTATCATACCATATATGAAAGACTCAATCATAGTTATTGTTACACATGTCTTTAAAACAAAGAAAAACAGATCAAGATTATGAAGCTAAAAGTTGTTTTACAAACCTAAAATGGTAAAATGGTATAATGATGTCTGTTTCATCTACTTGCAAGGTCACGCTCTTTATTTTATCATCTCGATATTGTCCAAGTTTCAGGATTCCCTACAAAAAATGTTTAATTGTATTAATAACAAGTTTTTATTAAAAAAATGGGTAAACATAGATTTAAACATTTTTTTTCGTCATAAAGATGACATAATCATCATACCTCTTATTATGGCGAACCTTTTATCCCTTACATAAAACTTCAAATCAGAACATAGTACAATCTACACCACAAGGCTTTAAAAGTTAGACATCAACAAAATACCATTGATCAAATGATATCTGTAAGTTGTAACTTTTTAGCCCAAGACTTCGAATTAAATGGTTAAATAATAGTACTAACCTATTGTTAATGTTGGGGAAGGGACTATATGGTACTAGATTTGTCTGAATCATTATCATCATTATCACCTGCAACCTATGTTCATGCAGCAAACTCAAAGTTAATCAAACAAAACTACGATATATTAATGATTAAAAGATGACTTCTGACAAAGATTTCACAAGTTTTTTGTTGTAGAATTCCAAGCTCTTTTCATATTTCTTCTTCCTTTTGTCAGCTTTAGCTATAAAAGGTGTTGTGTCCTACATTCACATCACCAAAAAAACAGGTAAATACTACATCAATTTTCTATATATTCTTATAAGTTTTAATTCTAAATGTTAAAAGTTAAAACCTTTATTCAACGAACCTACAAATGTTATTCTATATGGTTATTATTGTTCTGTCTTTTATTTCGCATTATAATTTTGCCTCAAAAACTAAACGTATAATACTTATAGGACCTGCCATTGACTTCCATTTTGCCACACCAGCTTACCAACCTGATAATACGCAAGTGAAATTCAAATCCAAAGCTACAACTTGAAAGCATAAACTCAACTCAATTTAGATAGAGAATACTTGAACAAAGCTTAATAAATTTCGAGGCAAATAGCAAAAAGGAAGATCACTCACAGCAACAACAGAGTTGTGTTCAGAGTTATCTTCTTTGAACTGCTTTCTAAAGTCTTCCCTTCACAACACATTAACAAAAGGAAAACTATCTAAATATTGGAAATTAAAGTAAAAGTAAAAGCTAAAAGATAAACTAAAAACAATTACTAAGTGCTAGCAGGTCCCTTAGGTTTATTGGGATCCTTAGCAGCTTCCCCTTGGCTGCAGTTTTCTTTACAGCCAACCTAAAATTCTAACAAAAAATTGTTAAAAAAATACCAAAATCGTGATCATGGGGAAGAACAAAAACCTAATTTCATTGAAGATAAAAAAAAAAAAGCAACATAAACCCTAACAGATGGCACTATGAAACATAATATAGATTAAATCGTACTTTGTATCAACTTTCCTCGTAGCATGGCTTGATTTGCCTCCTTTCGTCGTTTGATCCTGAATGAAACAACCAAAATAACAAACTAGGTAAAAAAAATCAAGACGAAAATGGTTGTATGTGACAAAAATTAGAGTCGACATTGAGGAAAAAGATAGATAACCGAATAAAAACAAAGATCGAGTAACAATGAAACAACAACCCTATCTCCGATCCGATCTGCCATACATCTGATATGATATGCGGTACATATATCCTTTTTGCCTCACAAATTCGAGCGAATTCCAATAATCGATCATACATCCCGAATTCCCGAACTGATATCCAAAAAAAAAAAAAAATGAAATCCTTTCTGTTTGGTTAAAAAGGGGGAGGAGGCGGTGCTCCAGTGGTCGTCGGGATGAGGAGAGATGACGGTTTAGTGATTGTCTAGAGGAGAAGAGATGGTGGTGCGACGGTCGTAGGGAGGAGGAAGGATCGAGTGGCAGTTTGGCGGTGAGATGAAAAGACGAGGGCTCTGTTCCTTTCACTTTTTTTTTGAACGGCGGGACCGAAAAATAAAATAATTGAAAACCTAATTAAATATGTATAATGGTATATGAATCGTCTAATACATGTTTAATAAGAGCCGTACATCTGTTTCTAATACGGATTTCTTACAGCCGTATTATATTATGGTGTATTGTATTAACCATTTTCCAGTAGTGATTGTTTTTCTTTGGTTTTTGTTTTCTAAAAGTTAATTTTATAAAGTGATATAAGTTTGGTTTTCTTTTCTTCTGTGGTTGTTTTCTATTAGATTTCTTAAAGGGTAGTTTGGTAAAATGATATAATTTTCTTTAATCTTTAAATTGTGAAGGATAGTTTTCTTTTCTTTCATTTTCTGTTTCCCAAAGGTCAATTTGATAGATTGATACAAATTCTCTTCCATCTTGTGCTAATGAGGACAAATAAACATATATATAATAATATAATTTAGTACTTTATTAAGTTGAAAGTGATGTTGTTTGCGTTCCACCTTTGTTGAAAAGATGAAAGTGATGTCTTCTGCATTTGACGTTCTAAAGGTTACTCTAGCATTAAAAGTTGAGTGTGATGTTTTTTGGAAAACAAAGATTAGCTCTCTATAAATAAATTTTGGAAGTAAACATCATTAGAGCATTGGCCATTTCTTTTTGAAAAATTTCACCCTCCACCTCAACATAGTGATCATGCCTTCAGCCACTAATAATCCAGTTTACAAGGAAGAAGTTGTAGTCATGGAGATAGACATAGAACCACCGACAGAAGTCAACCACAGAACATTCAGTTTAACCATAACATTTTTGTTGAAGCTCATCTGCTACATATTTAGTCTACTGGAACGTTTTGGTCGCCTCTGGACATACTATTACCCACGAATATTTGGGGAAATAATGCTCCCATCCCCACTTAAGTTTATTATCTTTGGCTTGGCTGCTTTTGCAGAAATGAAGTCGCAAGGGTCTGAATTTCCTTTCAAAAGCCACCCTCGATCAATGCATGTTGCAGTTACCAGTCTACTCTTTTATGGTTTGGCTTCAGCAGCCGAACACTTCATTTATGTCACGCATCTTGGTCCAGCTGCAGTTTATGGCATGGTTGCTCACTCGGGAAGGATTGGTTCTTTGTGCATTTTGGTGGCATCTGTGGCATCTTTGTTCTATCTTTGATATTTTCATTTCTCTCACTTAGTCTAAAACTGCAGTATATATACCTATGTATCGGGAGTATGATGCCTAAGATAGATTTCAACTACTGTTTACCCATGTAACATCTCATCCCATATATGTTTTTGATATGAACCATGAGCTTCTTATAAGCACATGGTGTTAGTCGTTTGGAGGTTATTTGGACCAATCTACTCTTTTGGGTAATAAGACATTAATTATATGATTTTGGACACTGCCTCATGACCTGGCTCGTGGGTTATATATGTGGTCATGAGCTAACAATTACCTTCCAACATAGTTTTAGTTGTTTTAAAGTTATTTACACAAATATGATATTAAGGCTTTGATGTTAAACATTAAGTATATGTGACTTTGTTTGATTTGGGACATTGACTTACGGGTTGACTTATGGATTATCGCCATTAAGAACTTGAGTGGTGGAGTTAGTAACATCCCACGTTGACTTTGTTTTTTATTGTGAACTAACTACTTCCCACCGGCACCACCCATTAAGTTGATTTGGAGCTTATATGGGCTTTGGTCGTGGAGTCATGGTAAATGATCCACCAAATAATTCAAGTGGTGTTACAACTTAGAGATCGTATGATAACTTTTTTTAACGTATATTAAAAAGATATAAAAATTCACTAAGAATAAAAAAAATTACATTTTATAATTGTTCATTAGAGCATCTCATGGGATTTTTCTATAACTTATTATTATTAGCTTTTTTTTTTATTGATGGTTTATTACCATTCGTGTTGTGGAGTACATAACTGATTTGTTTTCGTTTAGGACAAAACTGCAAAAATTGTCTCTGTGGTATGCATTTTTTCTCAAGTTTGGACTAAACCTCAACTTTTTTGGATTGGTGGTCTTTTTGGCCTAGTTTTAATGCGTATTTGGTCCCTCGGTAAACTAAAATAACTGCAATGCCCTTCTATTTATTTTTTATGTTTTTTCTATTTAATTTAAATAAAAAAGAAAATAAATAAATAATTTTGGGCCTACATCTATCTCTATCTCTATCTCTATCTCTCTCATAAATAAATAATTTTGAGCCTACATAAATCTCTATCTCTATCTCTATCTCATGAATGAACAAACTAACGAACGAACACCCATATCATAAACATTACCAAACGGTAGAAAATCCAACAAATTTACATGTGTTCTACAATCAATTTTAAAATTCAAGATATCTATTTCACACACACACTCACATTCTATTTGATATATCTCACTCACATATCATAGACTCTGTTTCCTCACCTTCCTTTCAGTCAAGCACGATCTCGCACACAACAAACAACTCCAATACACTCTGTTTCATTATGCCTCTCTTTGATATTTCCCTTCTTTCTTTCATCTCCAGGTTGTGGTGTTTCCCCTCTTTCTGTCATCTCCGACCAACAGCCAACCTTTCCTCTTCATTTGATTCATCTTCTCAGTGACCCATGAGAGAAATTTCAAACAAAAAACACCCAGATACAAAATCATTATTATTGATTCAAACCCCAATAATCATTCAACCCTAGAGTACAGGATGTAAATGAAGAACACGAGTAAACTCTAGAAATCGGGTGGAGCTTCATTTGATGTTTTTGCCATTGATACACACATGACGAAATTAAAAGTGGGTCTCGAATTTACCAGATTTGATCCAGCGAGTCTATGATATGTGATGGGAAGAAGGCGATGCTTCCTGGCCTTGGATCTGTTATGTCGTCCGTTAGGCCACCTCCGACCACAATTTCCTTCGTCGGATATTATAATAGTGATGGCTCTGATCTTCTTTAAGTGTGAGGGTACTGGATGATGAATCCAAGGAAACTCACCACTCCCATTCTTTTGGTCCATGTGGTTTGAGTAGTGGTGGTTCTGGTTAACGGTGGTGGCTAGGGTTGTGATATGAAGAAGGAAGAAGAAAGAAGAACATAGGTGATGGTGCTGAAGTTGAACGACTTTTGGGTTTTGTGTATATTGATTTTGAAGTGTATAGGAGTTTGTGGTACTCGAATCTGAACGTAGAACTTCATATGATTCATCATTGTGTGTATGTATGTGCTATATCAAGGAAAAAGAAGCAAGGTTTACCTGTGTTGAATCTGAACCCAAATATTCATATTGTTCTTCCCCAGATCTTTATATCTTCATCTAGTCTTCATTATGAGAGAGAGGCCCCTTTTATTTTTTTTAATTATTAAATTATTAAAAAATATATTAAAAAAATGTAAAAATAAAAATAAAAGGGAAGAATAGTCTTTTTAATTTTCGGAGGGACCATTTCCTTATAGAAACATGGCCAAAAGGACCATGCAGCCAAAAAAGTCGAGGTTTCAGCTAAACCTCGGAAAAATGCATACCACAGTGACCATTTTTGCAATTTTGTCTATATTTAGTGACCAATATACTTTAAGGCCATCAGCTATGTTCTACGTGATTTTACTCAAAAAGTGTGGCATATCAACTTCAATACATCCTTACTAAACTTAGAAAGTGTTCACCACTCCACATCATATATATATATATATATATATATATATATATATATATATATATATATATATATATAGGTAAGTTAAATCGAGAACGTTCAAAAGCTTGAGAACGCGAGAACGTACCATTTATGTAAACTTCGAAACTAAGGGAATTAATTTGTAACATTTAAATTGATTATAAGGATATTAACTAATTGTCTCTTTAGTTGATTCCTTGAAAATAGCTAACGTATTCATTAATATATACCGTCATTAATCATTTTATATTCACAAGACTCAAACAATTCAACCAGTTCTCCACAAGCGCCGTTTTTTTCCTTTCAAGCCAATTAGGGTTCAAATCAATCCATAACCCATCGTGATAACATGTAAAAATCAGATCATCTAAAACAGCCAAGGCTAGTGGTCCTACCAACGAATGCGTCGATCGAGGCTGTTTGTGGCAAAGCACGACGGGAAAAGGGCTTCCGGCGACTGATGGACGATAGTACAAATTGGTAATATAAACAACCATATATTTGATGACATACATATGTGGTAAACGAGCAATATATGTGCTTCATATTTTCTTCATGTTTCTCTCCCTCTTTTTGGTTTATTTTTTTGTTGGCAATTACTCGTCAACGGTAACACACAAAAAAGAAGAAAAAAAGGGAATTGCATTAGTTCTTGGGCTTTTGGAAACATTCTTTGGCTTTGATTGTGATCAATGATTACAATTCATGCAAGTTTTTTTATTTGGTTTATTTAGTTTTCAAAAATGATTTTTATTCTTGGAGTTGTTTGATTTATCCATGATTAGAGTAGGAATGTAATTTGTGAATAATGTCAATATTGTTTTCAAAAAAATATTTTATGAATATTGTTATAATTTATAAGTAACTACATCATGAATTGCAAATTGGAATATATTATTAAAATGACATTAAATAAAAAATTGTGTTTGTGATTTCTATACTGTTAATGAATAAAATTATTTTCGTTTGGGTATTAATTTGTTGGTTTTTTAGGTTTATTCACTTTCTAAGAAAAAAGAAGAACAATGATCGAGATGGATCTTTATGGATTGGACAGGCATCGAGATCCATATTTTCATAATTTTTGGTTGTTATTTTTTTCATTTGTAATGTTGTAATCATTTATTTATGAAGGTAGGTTTCATATACAATATGTAATCATGTATGAATGATTTATGAATATAATTGTTTTGTTTTATTAATTATACTTAACTCTTTACATATTAATCATGTATGAATCGTTTATTCCATTTTCTTATTTATTTTAAGAAACTTTTCCCTATTTTGGTGTTTTATTCATTTATTAATATTACTATCGTGTATGTACTGTATAATTATGTATAAAGTGTTTTATTCATTTATAAATATAACTATTGTACTTTATTCATTGTAATGTTTATTTTTGTTTATATACATTCATAATTAACATAATAAGGTCAAATGAAATTCTCAAAAGAATTCATTTATGAATGAAAATAGCATGAATCTGACCATTAACTTGTTAAAGAATAAATATCCACTTACATATTTTTATTATACAAACCATTAATTTCTATTAAAAAAAAATCAAATTATGCATACATCATTTATGAATATAGGTTGCATATATAATATGTAATCATGTATGAATATAATTGTTTTGTTTTATTAATTATACTTTATTCTTTACATATTAATCATGTATGAATCATTTATTCTATTTTCTTATTTATTTTGAGAAACTTTTCCCTCTTTCGGTGTTTTATTCATTTATTAATATTACTATTGTGTATGGATTGTATAATTATGTATAAAGTGTTTTATTCATTTATAAATCTAACTATTGTATTTTGTGCATGATAATGTTTATTTTTGTTTATATACATTCATAATTAACATAATAAAGTCAAATGAAATTCTTAAAAAAATTCATTTATGAATGAAAATCACATGAATTGGACCATTAACTTGTTAAAGAATAAATATCCATTAACATACTTTTATTATACAAAACACTAATTTGTATTAAAAAAATTCAAATTATTCATACATCAATAAATACAATAAAATTGTAGAATAAAAATAGGTTTTTTTAAAATATGAAAAAAAAATCAAGAATTCATTCAATTTGATTATTTTATATTAATAAAAAAAGATATATTTTTTGTAAAAAAATTGAAATAAATGATTGCAAAATTATAGGAAACAATCATTTAATTAAGTTTAATATCTCATTAATGCAATTTTAAAATTCTTATATTACCCATAGAAATGATTGATCCATAATTGTTCTCGCGTTCTCAACCTTTTTGCATTCTCAATATATATATATATATATTATATATATATATATATATATATATTATATATATATATAGACAGAGAGAGAGAGAGGTAGGTTCCGTTGAGTATCAAAATAAAATAGAGATCTTGAGATTCAACCACAGCCACATAATTCACATTTGCCGCTCTAACCCTCCGGCGTACAGGTGCGGCGGGTTAG